AGGGCTAGTGACTCTCGTGGCCCCTTTTTTTTTTAAATTCTTACTTTTTAACCGAAGAAAATGGATGACAATTTCAATGACTCAAAAACCTCTAAAAACTATCGCTGTTTCTCAAGAGGAGTTTTCTTTTATACAATAATCAAAAAGCTTATTTTAAAAAAGGGTCACGAGAACCGCTAGCCCTAAATACGGGCTTTCAAACAAAAAAAAATTATTGGCTACAATGAAGCTCCTTCGACAAATCTTGGAGATACGATCGAAAACCTAATTATAAAACGAGAAAAAACGGAGAAGATTTTTGGTTTTTTTCAAAAACAGCTTATTTATCTTATAGAGGATGGCGAAAATCTTCAAAAAGTTTTGTCGTTTATGAGAGATCAGATTATGGGCTATCTTTCTCTGCATTTATCTTACTTTCGATCATATCGACGAAAAGTGACTTTTTTGAGGGAGGTCTTAAGTTTCTTGATTTACATCTCCGCACACGAACTTAGTGTACGAATTTAATTAAACAGCGAATCGAACGGAAACCAAAGACCGTTTTAAAATTTCCGAAGCAAGCCGATCTTATCTCTGATCTGAAATAATACTAAATTCCACGAAAAAAATCTCTTGAGCTTTATTACGACGCCTAAAATTTTTAACTTTCACAGGCATCAGAGTAGCAAATAAACAATATCCTTGAGTGATAAGTACACATCTTTGTCAATTACTTGCAGTGTTTTAATCTAGAAATGCATGAATAACAGATAGCAACCTAAAGATTTATTTGAATGATCGTATATACTCGTGTGTCTGCACATGGAACAGAATATTTAGTACCATTTAACACACTTTGATTTTATTTATTCCCATTCATTTTCGCCTGTTCTCAGGCGGACATGATGCATGAACAAGCTGCGTCTCTGCTTGCTTTGATTTAAGGTTGATTGAACTAGGCAGTTGGTGTTGTCTTTATTCACTCACTTTGAATTGAATCCGAACACCTATTCATACAGGAGATAGACAGTGCAAATAATAAGAGTGGTATTTGTCACAATATTCCAGATCGGGTCACTCCGATATAGCTCCCATCTGCAATTCTCAACATAATATCGATAATCCAATAGATAGTTCTCACGCTTTTATTATACCGTGAATGATGATTTCATTGCGTAAAAAAGAGCTCAATATCAATCAATGCCTAAGTAATTTGAAATCAGAAACAATCTTATTTATCGATTTCTTCATTTTTATAGATATGATGTGATGCATCTCATACACTACTTAGTTTTAGTTATGAGTACTATATCCACTGCTATTCATGGCAGATGGAATTTGAACTTGCTTGACTCCGGTGTCACTGCTGTGGCGATGAAAAGCACAAAGTAAGTACTTAGTCGCATAACATACTTGAATATTTCATTTTACCAATTAGTCTTAGACGATGAATATCGCCGTTAGGTATCGAGCGAAGTTCAAAGCCCTTCAAATATTCTCAAAACAGAAGGATAGAGAGCTATGGATATGAAGAACAAAACTTCACCGATCACATAGATCCTGATTCTTGAAAATCTGCTTCAGAAAATTCTTCTTGTGAATGGGAAACCCAATAGATCATTTCAAATTAATAAGGATGAGCTTTCAGGATACAAATAACACTTCAAGACATATTTAGGGTATAATATAAGAAGCTCTGCTAGGAAACATAATTGATACAACCATAATCCATTAATCACTTTCTTGTTAAGCAACACTTGAAATCCAACGGTGACTGTATCAGAACGACAATCGTAGATACTTTTATCGTGCTACATCAGTTTTCACCATGTCCGTCAGGAAAACTTCTTGATTTGATTTTTTTACAAAAGAAAGGGCTTTTCGAGAAAATAACAAGCTTTCAAAAGTTTAACTACAGATAGTGTAAGTCAAGCAATCGACATCTGTAATCTGTTCCTCAAAATTGTATACTCGATTTCTCGATGTACTCTTCAATAACAGCTGTTCTCCAGTTAACAAAAACAAGTACATAATTTTTAGAAATTGATTGCAGATTCGGTTTTCCTGACACGAGTTATCTTCATTGGAATTTTATAAGAAGCCGTTATTTCCTTAAAAATCCTTTTCTTTAGTGAAAAAATCAAACTGAAAGGTTTTCTGTTATCCCATTAAGACATAACTCATAATAGAGCCATTACCAAATATTTGTTTTCGTCTGAATAGCTTTTCTTTCCTCGTGGATAGTGGTAAACAATGGTATGAGATGATAAACGTATAACCGGTTATCGGTTGACACTGGTGAAACGTTGGCGGTATACCGGTGAATGATCGCCACTGTGGCATCCCTAAGCAGCAGAAAAATAGTGAGTGAAATCAAAAAAGATTAATCCTTTGAACGATTCCCAGATAAATGTGGCTTCTATACTTGAATATGCCTAAAGAGTGCAATATATTTGAAGACTGAGAAAGAATTTCTTTTCAACCTAATTTTTGTATCAAAATGAAGTGTCTATAATGAGAATGACATGTCAACATATTCATACTTGCTTAGTGAATGGACAAGTCTTCTCCGACCTACATGGGTAGAAGTTGATCTCGACGTGGTGAGCTCGAATGTTCGTCAATTGAAAACGTTCATTGGCGAGAAGGTGCATCTGATGGCTGTCGTCAAAGCCAATGCCTATGGACACGGAATATTGGATATAGCCCGCACTGCTCTGTCATCTGGTGCAACCTGGTTAGGCGTCGGTACATTGGATGAAGCACTTGTTCTGCGTCGTCAACTCTCAAAAGACTCACCTGTCCTGATTCTTGGCTATGTCCCTCCGGAACACTTGCTCTTGGCTAGTCGCTCTGGAATCACGGTGACGGGCATCTCGTTGCAATGGATCCAGGAAGCGACTCGTTTCGTCCAGGAACCACTCGATTTTCATCTGAAAGTCGACACAGGTCTGAATAGAATTGGCTGTAAGACATTAGACGAAGTACGGGAAGTAATTAAGATTGTGTCTCTCAATCCAAATCTACGTTTGTCTGGAGTCTTTACTCAGTTTGCCACAGCGTACAACACGAACAACAAAACCTATTTTCTAGAACAACTTGCACGCTTCAACGAGTTTCTCGAAGTTATCCCCAATCGAACCGAAAAAATTATTCATTGTGCAAACTCAGGTGCTACTCTGTATCAAATCGAAAAGCCATTCTTTAACATGGTTCGATGCGGAATAGCTTTGACAGGTCCACCGATTGACACATTACAACACTTGCTTCCTATTCCTCTTCGAACCGCTATTTCTGTTCACTCGGTATTAGTCCTCGTCAAACAACTGAATCCTGGTGAGAAGGTTGGTTATTTTGGCGAATATACTACAAATGAAACGCAGTGGATTGGTACTGTATCTGTAGGATTTGCGGATGGGTGGCATGAAGATTACAAAGCAACTGGCGTCCTCGTCGAAGGAAAACGACTGCCCATCGTTGGACGTATTTCCGTGGATCAACTCATGATCGGTCTCGACAGAGAATATCCGGTTGGAACTCGTGTAACTTTTATCGGACGACAAAATAACGTGACAATTACTGGTGATGACGTTGCTCGAGCGGCAAAAATACCAACGATAGTCGTATTTTGTTCCATCCCAAGCCACGTGCCACGTCTATACAGACAAAATGGATCAATGATTAGTGATGCAAACATTTTTCTCGAGCCTCGAAATCTACTAGCAGTGATGCTTTGCTTATCTTTTGCAAGCCTATGGCAAATCTGCATGTAGCCTCGGACACATATTCACTCATTTTTCTGCTAATTCGCGCACCAGGTGTTTATTTGAAAGTGGCTAGAATGAGTGTGGATGTGAGGATTTTCTTTTTATTCTCTATCATATGTCCTGTTTTTCATGCTCCAACACTATTCTCTCTTTATTATATATCATCATTAATATTTTTAGGGTGTGTGGATGTGGGGTGTAGGGTGTGTAACGGCAAACTAGATGAGTAGCTTACCGCCACCCTCGGCAATGATGTTTATTGAGCTACTTCACATCTCCAGAGTGTAACCACTTCATATACAATGCACACTTATATAGAAGAGAGAAGAGAGAGGGAGAGAAACGAACACAGGAAAGAACAATAGAGAGAGACAAGAAAGATCAGTGGGGGATGATATCAATATCGATACAGTGTGGGTGGGTGTAGGTGTGGATATGGGATGAGTGGGTGTCGTCAGTGTTGAATGTTTTTTCCTTCTCAGACCCACGCCTACACTCACACTCACCCATTTCTGCCAAATTTCTCGCAGAAAGTCAATGTTCTTTCGGCCAAATTTCTCCAAGAAATTTGATGTTATTTCTGTGAGAAACTTGGCAGAAATGATATCGGCTTTCTGCAGAAAAATTATAGACTTTCTGCCAAAAATTTGGCCCCACCCACACACAAAAACAATCGAGAACCTTGCTTGGTATGCTAACAGAATTATGATCAATGCGTATAAACAGGTATATTTTATCATAACAATAAACGATAATTCATAAGAGAGAGAAAGTGCTGCTTTCTAATGTATTTTGCCAGAAAGAAGCGAATGCCTGTATAAGAGCTAAAGATGTAAAAATCTAAAATAATTATCGTCTAATTAGTTGTAGACCATTATATGTTAAAATTTAAGCTTTGTTTTGGATGTGTAATAAGAAAGAAAAACAAATTTTTCTTGAAGAGTCCAACACTTTTGGATCATTCTATTATTATTAGAAAGAGACATAGAGCAAGAAGCAGGCCCTTTGCGATCATGAAATAAAGAGGGTCGATCGGCCATCCTGTTGTCAAAGTCTCGTGGCAGTCCTCGATTTACTTCAAAACCAGACAAAACAAGCACATTGAAACAACGAGAATTGTCACTTCACACTTGCTAAAAGTCGTTGATGATTGAGTTAATCGCTCGTTCATTTAATAAAAATGTGATTAATGTAAAATATCAAAGATAACAAAGAAATAAAGCAATAGAATGACTTATTTGATTAGTAATTCTTTTAATAAATGTTTGGAAATAAACGCCATTGTACAATATTCGTATATATTTTCCAATCTGATCCAAATTTTCTTTGACAAACTTCATTATCTCGTCTTTCGCGATGTATAAAACATAATATTAAATAAATAATATATGTATACGGTATGAAATGATTAAATGAACACAATAAACACCAGCCAATACTTTGCAATATATCACCTGTTAAATTCATACGTCTTACAATACCCCAACAACCTGAATATAATAATTTTGGTCCACGTTTTGTTTTTATATATTTTGGTATATTACAACGGTAAATACCAAATAATACTTTAAGAATACAATTATAGCATGTTAAACACCAAACATATGATGTATCATAACTAAAATAATGTTTTTGTAAGTTAGCAATTCGAAATAATAAGAAACCACTAATACACAAACATGAACAAATTATCAAATACAATGTTGGTAAGGTTTGTATGGATGGAGAATGTAAAGATAAATAATGTGTTTGAATTGAAAAAAAGAATGGTACAAATACAATATCACCCTAAAATACAAATAACGTATTGCTAATAAAGTGAGTGAAAAAGTACTGTTGGTATATCCTTCGGAACTCTAACACGAATAAGAACCGTTTAGAGACAGACTTCCGGAAAGATGGAGCTACATCTTCCAAACATATATCCTTGTTTACTAAAAAATTGTTTTTCCATAGAGTTGATTAACCTGAAGAACTTTTCTATATGATATTATGTTTTCAGAACGTTGTACTGAAGAGATATATTTGGAAGAATTACTTTTGCATGTTGATTCCAAATATCACGTTTATTTCCCATAAAAATCAATTTTTGATAATTAAAATCTTGAAGTACTAACCACTTTTTCTATGAAAATTGATTCTTTCATAAACTTTTGATGTTTTTGCTAATATTAAAAATATCCAAAGCATGATTCAATGATTTCATATCTTTACACCACCCATAACCAAAAAATAGCTAAACGAAAAAAAAAATTAGCGAGGTATAGTCCATGGAAAACGCGCCACTTCTTTTACTATCGTTGCTAGTAATGTGTGTAAAGTCTGGTTACTGAGTTCGTCCAATAGAGAATTCATTTTTCTACAAAGCTGTAGACTGCATTTTTCAAATGTGTTTTTCTTGTCGGCGTAAAATGTAAAAGATTAACTACTAATCAATCAATTTGTTAGAGTCTGTGCTCATCAAGATGGATGCTAAAAGTAAAGTATTTAACATCACGAGACAGAGAATTTTGTACTCTATACTTCCACGATCTTTTCAAGGTTCTTGATGCTAGTTTTAGATGTATTTCACACACTACTGTTTTTTTTTGCAAAGCTAGACTTGTCATATGAAATGTTGATTTTCATGCCATCGGATGAAGAATTTAATTCTGAACAAAATGGTGTAAACGTTAAGTTGAACAGTTAAAACGTTTAGGCTATTTCAAATTAAACGAGAACAATGGCATAGCTCTGTTCGGAAGGGTGTTTTTACATTTTCTACTTCAAAACTTTTCCTTTCAAGTATTGATTCTAATATTTTGAAAAGTACATGAAACTATGCAGAATTTTATGTAGAATTTTATGACATATTTGTGAAATTGTAGCAAAACTGTTATTAAAAACATTCCATCGTTTTTTCGTTTTTTTGTCACCATTATAGTTGGACGACTGAGTAGATGTTAATTTTATAAATTTCGCATCGACAAGAAAAACTTATCTGAAAAACAAAGTTGACAGTTTTATACAAAAATGAATTCAGTAACAGATTTGAAAGTAATTTCAGGCGTTGCAAAGACAAAAAACAAAAACCGATCATGTATGCTGCGTCACTCGTTACATGAGAAACGTGGAATCTAGATTTGACCCAAAAGATTTGTATAAAATAGTTGAAAACCTAGACAATATCTCCTTCTGATATTGGTCATCTGTGTGTTTTTTTACCCATATCATCATTAAGCCAAATTTTTCTTCCATTATATCCCATGTTGTTAATATAGCTTCTTCAAAATAATAATAATCTGTCACAAATAATGTTTGAAAAGCTGTAATTATAAGAATAGATAATGAATAATTGCCATCAAAGTTTTGTATTTGTTTTTCTATAAAGGAAATATTAAATAAAACCCATAACATTAAACCAGGACGTCCTTCGAAAAAAAATTTAAAATCAAAATTAAAACATCGAGGATTTCGAATATAACCCATCCAAAAATCATATATCACATTGTAACTAATTGATTGAGAACTATTTTGTTGATAGGATAATATAGATATACCAATAGCAATAATAAATGATAATATATTAGATGTTACTAAAAGTGATGTAAAATTATCAGCTAAAAATGTTGGTGATAAAATATGACAATGATAACATATTATATAATAAATGGTTAATGTTAATAAATATGCAAGAAAACCATTTAATATATAATCTAAACGTTTAACACTACCATCTTTATTAACACCAATCGGAGTACCTAATATAATACGACCTGATAATTTAATAGCTAATAGAACTTGGAATAATATATAACAAATTAATATCGGTATTATATGATAATGAATCGTAATTACTTGTACATGTATATCAATAATATATTGATAAAAATAAATAGTAAATGGATTTTGTAATGTACCACCATGGTTTTGTGTTAAGCAATATGATAAATAAAATAAAAATAATGGTAAACCCTACAAAGACAAAAGAAAAAGAAAAATGAGTCTTGGTTTTTTTTTCAGTTGCCTAGTTTATATTTACAATAATCATGGCAGTAACACCTGGAACACCACCAAATTGATTAGCTTTTATTTTAACTTTTTCTTTTTGTTCATCAACTAATAATGCAGAAATATGAACATTCAATAACTCATCTAAACATTAAAATAATAATGTGCCGAAAAGCGAGAAAAAAAGAAAGTTTATACTTACATGAAGAAGAGTTAAATGACTGAGGAATTTGATTACTAATTGGCTTTTTCTTTTTGTTGTTTCCACTGTTCTTCATCCTTGTTGATGCTAGTACTGCTAACTCATGCGTCAAGGTGAAACTACCACAACACGGTCTGTCACCACGATCGTGGTAGCGATGTCATTGGACGCCGTTGGCCAGTCAATTACTGCAGTCGATAGGGGACACACACAGACGGACACACTCATTTGTTCGGAAAGGGGTGAATCCAACGTCAATCAATGTTGAGTCATGAAAGCTACCTCATCAATGCCTCGTTAGTCGCGGCAAACGATAGGGACACCATAGCAATCCTAAAACTACTGTATCGCGCATCAAATCGTTTAAAGCGGGATAAGCACGCTTTCGCCGGCGCATAATGTGCACATCAATTGATGCAGAATGATGTGAACAATCGAATGAGAATCTCATTGTTCCCCAGCAAACGATCTATAGTGCCGAAAAGTGACCAAAACTGGCTAAAACCTTCCTGAGCGTGCCGATCCGAACCTAAATCGCCTTACAGCTCTTATGCATTCGTTTGTCAGGACATCATTCGCACATCCAGCGATGCGAAATGGCATAGCGTACACGTTGATGTGGTCGGCCTCTCTAGACAAACGATGTGAAGTGGAGAAAAGGGGTAAAAACTGGCCTAAATTCGCCAAGAACTTGTACTCGCTGATAATCGATCGATAATAGTACATGAAGCATCGTTTGCTGAGAGAGAGCAACCACATCCATCGATGCGCAATGACATGGCACATAGGGTGTGGGTGCGTATGTGGGTTGCCGGCGTAATTGTGGCGTGTGTTGCCTTTACCCACACCCACACCCACACCCACTCCCTAATGAAAGACTCTTTGAACATCAGGAAAAACTGATTTGGGAGGTGAACAAACAGCGATTTAGTATTCCCCCTAGACCCTTTGCAAAGGTGCTATAAATGATTGAATATAATAATTTTGGAGAAGGACAATTCGTTACAAAATGTAACATCAAACTAAAATGTAGCTTTTACGCAAGTGATACCCGATGTATTTTTTCAAGCACCACTTTTTTATATAAAACGTGGTTTTATCAAAATATCGGTCTTTCGAAAATTAAAGGTCATAAGAAATATAAAAATATTGATGTCCTTGAAAATAAAGAAACAAGACTAATTATTTTGTAAAGTAGCTTTTACTCCACAAGTTGATGTATTAACAAAGATTCGAATCTTAGATTTCGTATTCTACGAAGTACCCATGAAAAAAAAATTTTCTATAAAAGCGCGTTTCAACGTAAATTTTGAGAAAAAAAACGTTATTTTTGCGTTTAAACGCGTCAATTTTCATTTGTAATGCGTTCAAATGCATTCTTTTTTATTTGCAACGCGTTTTTTTAATTTAAAATGCTATCAAAAAACATCGTTCGAACGCGTTTACTTTTATGCGTTACGACACGCTTATTTATCTTGCATCTTAATGCGTTTGTGTAGATTTCTTTGCTCAAATAATGATGTTTTTTACAAAAGTGCTTCAACGCACTTTTTTCAACGTATTTTTTTTAATAAGAAACGATTTCTTTTGTAAACATGTTTGAACACGTTTTTCCAATGAATATTTTTTTTTTATTGTAAAAAACGAAGGTTTTTCACAAATTCACTAGACAGCATTTTTTAAATGTGCTTTTTACATAGAGAAAACGAGTAATTTCACAAACATGTTGAAAGGATATTCAGATTCGCACTATGAGTAAATACGTGGTTATATGACGTAAGAGTGTACCAACATTTAAGAGAAACGTTTTGCCGGACTACATTTGGCAATAGAACACTCAAATACGCCCGTTTCAGAGATAAATTTTGTGATTATAGTACAGCACAGAGATGAGCGAGCCAGCCAAAAAGTCACACCGCCACCGCCCCGTCCCGTCCCGTTGATAAAGTTTCGCACCGTCACCGTCCCGCCTATTCAACAATAAAACCGTCACCGCCCCGCCCCGCCCCGTCTAAAGTCTGTCGTCAGAAGTCATTTATTCATGAAATTTTTAGTAACTTTTCATAATTACTATTATATTTCCTGAGATAAAAAGGCATAATTTAAATACAGGGTGACTTACATATAATGACATGACAATAAGAAATTTAAATGGCTCTACTTCTGTTCATGCAAATGGGCTCATTTTTTGGTTGGTAATAGAACTCTCCTCAATTTTTTTCCGTTTGAATAATGTAAGTAAATCAAACTGTTAAGTATTTCAGTTGACGTCAACAAAGCAACTTCACTAGTTATCAAGTAAAAAAACCACATATGAAATATTGTGTAGATGATTTTTAGTTATCATTTGACAGAATGACTTGAAAAATTCAAACAAATCTTCTAAACGATACTACATTGATGTACATATAGAAAACTTTCTGGACTAGCTACTTTGAATACTGGAACTAGTGCTTGATAACTAAAACGCGTATCTGAAAGCCTTTAGTTACCCAGTTGGCAAGTTTTCAACAAAAATCAGTGTTCCACGTCTGAGACTTCGAAACATTGTAATTGCTAACTTTCAAATTGACTGGTTGAGAAATTTCTCTCAATGTCATCCATATAGTATCATTCAGCAGATTTATTTGAATTTTTTCAAGTCATTCTGTCAAACGACAACTAAAAGTCATATACACAATATTTCATATGTATTTTTTTACTTGACAACTAGTAAAGTTGCTTTGTTGACGTCAATTGAAACACTTAACAGTTGAATTTATTTACATTATCCGAATGAAAAAAATTGAATCCTTTTGAATGACCAGAAGTAGAAATATTTAAACTTCTTGTCGTTATGCTATTATTTATAGGCCACCCTGTATATAAAAATTAAATTTCGAAATAGAAAAAAAATAAACATTTAAGAAAAATGTTAAAAAAAACTCAATATTGCTAAGGGGCGGGGAAACCGCAAGATCTTGCGACGCACCGTCACCGCCCCGCCCCGTCAAGTTTCTGCACCGCCCCGCCGGCGGGGCGGGACGGGGCGGGGCGGTGCGGTGTGAAACCGCGACTCGCTCATCTCTGGTACAGCACAATGTATTTGAATATAATGTAAGAAAAAAAATAGTTGTGTGCCAAAAAGAAACAGCTCAGACAAGTTCGATCAAGTTTTATTTTTTTTAAAAAGATGTCTTGAGAAGGTTGTAAAAGTTGTAGATAAGATAATACCTCGCAAAAACAACTCTGTTACATTATCTTCATGGATCGGTTAGTTATAAGATGGTTTTTTAAATTTTAACAAAATTTCTAGCGGTTCATATTTAGAGCATTATCTTTATGATATTTTTTTAAAGTTTTTCTTCAGATTAAATATACCCTATAAACACATTAGTTAGCACGGTGATATATGTATAATCTGAAGAGATTCCATTTTCAATTCATTTCAAGAAGCTATATAAAAAATAGCGTATGTTTGTTCATTCCTTTCAGTGTTCTACTCAAATTTTAGTCTAGCTTCTTTTTTTCGTTATTGATTTTCTCCACAGATCGGCAAAAATTGTTAGTTGTTTTATTTTCAAGAAAAGTTCGAATATGTATATAAACTATCACTCGATGAAAGAATTAGGCCTTTTAACACACATAACTTTTCGTTCTCTCCCGACATAGTTTCTGAGTAATATCGATAGTAGTCGTAATCTTTCATTCTTATTGCCTCCTTGTCGTCAGTTTATATCTCTTCCTATATTCTGTTTCTTTAAAAAAGTAAAATAATGTATTGTAAGGATATTTATGTCTCTTGTTCTTTTATATGTCCTTTATGTTTTATTGATGAACTTACAGTGTTATGATGGAGTTGAATGAAAAAGACAAAAAAAACATACTGAGTATTTTCATTGGATAAATATTTTTTTTACAGAACTATTTGATTTTTTCTGTTCATGAACTAAAAGTTGTTTGAATGAATTTCAGCCGTTCCTTATAGACCCACACCCACATCCACATCCTATTCGATTGTCTCTTCCAGAATAATCTTCGCACTATCTAATTTCGTTGAGACTTCTACTTTGATAATAACGATTATTGTATCGACTACTCATATTCGCATTTTAAAAGTTAGTGAGCTTATTTTATCGTTGTTTCTTATAAAAATCTTGTTCTATTGGTTTATCTATATTACTTATCTGATCGTATTTACATAATTTTATTATATGTTTCTTAGTAACTCCTTTTCCAAAAGTTCCAAAGATGTCAAGAAAGATAAATCCTAGCCCATATAGCAAAACTCGAAGTGTAGTCGGCATACAAGTGCTCCTTCTACTTGATTTATACTTAAACTTTTTCTTAGACTTTAACGGAGCACTAAGGTATGTTAACTATACTTTGAGTTCTGCTGTACTGACTAGGGTTTATCTTTCCTGAAATCTTTGGAACTTTTAGGAAAGAAGTTACTAAGAAATATGCAATAAAATGATGTAAATGCGATAAGATGAGTAATTTAGATAAACCAATAGAACAAGATTTTTATAAGAAAAAACCGCATTTTACATGAATAAAACGTGTCACAACAAACGCGTTCTGGAACTGTTTTGCGTTTTATTGGAAAGAAACACGTTCAAATGCGTTTCAGAAAATGCGTCTAAAGCCTAGCGAAAGCATGAGTACTAATAAAACAACGCGTTCAAACGCAGATTTGTGCAAATTTTTTTTTCGTGGAATACCTGTTGACAACAGTCAACAAAACTTATCATCATCAAAGATTAATCATTCATCATTGATTCAGACAATAGAGATTCCAACATTTTCAGATGAAAATATTGAAGATTCTGGACAATGGCTAGATCAAGTTTTTGCATTGATTGAACAACAAAATATAAATCCAGGTGAAGGTGTTGGTGTGGGTGTGTTCACGTTATTGTTAGGGATATATTCATATCCATACTCACACACCCACACCACATCTCACCTTCACACCCTCACACCCACTCCCAAATCCACGCTCACCAACATCCACATTCATACTCCACACCCACACCTATTCGCCTTTGGAATTTTATTCGCGGAAAGTTTTCTCTTTGTTCTGTTTTTTTTAAACGGGCTCGAGTAATTTAAGATTTCAGTCCACTGTTGGTTGGATAAAATTTATTGCATTGCTTCGCTTTCTTCAGTCAACTGGGTTTTTTTCCACCTCTTCAAGTATCACGAAGAACATGCGTAAAACAACGAGAAAAATATTTTTACCGCTTCATTTTTGCCTTCTTTTTCTTCCGACTTATTCTTACTCACAAGCCATTGCACATTAACCATTGAATTCATTCACTGCTACTTCAATTTGAATCAAACAAACATCGATTCTTTCCAAATAGATATTAAACATGGCGGGTGCGGAAGATGAAGCTCGATTACAACATTGTTTAGAAACGATTATTAGAGTCGTCGAAGAAACTATGAAGAAATTAACCGGTCAAGAAGAATCAGGACGTTTTAGTATGGATGGTGCATTGGATACCAATATCTATACATTCACCTTAGATGCTCAAGAAGAAGCTTTAATGGAGGAGATGAAAATTGAACTTGAAGATGTCTTGAGACAAACTGTGACCCGATTATCGACACTCTGCCGCACATATTTATTAGATTTTTTATATCAACACAGTTATGATTATGAGTCTCGAGAATTCACCAATCCTTTCAATAGTGGTATTCTCAAGGCCTTTGTTAATGATGCACAACAGATGTTAGCTTCACTGAAAGCTTTTCTAGCGGCTTTTGATGGCAATGAAGGTGATGTGAAAGCCTTTCTGAAAAGATTTCCAACGATGAAGGATAGACCCGGCCTTTGGGGCACCACTCTTCTATATTCAGCGGCTCGAAACAATCATACCAACCTGGTTCGATTTCTTGTTACAAACGCTCGATGTTCAGTCAATGCTCAAAATCAACAACATATCAAACGAGCTTTGTCAAAATCAGTCAAAGACGATCCTGATTTCGTTCCAAATCCATCGGCTGGTTCGACTGCGCTACACGGGGCTTGTTTTGCTGGTCATTTGGAAATCGTGAAATTCTTATTCGAACATGGTGCTGATTGTTTCCTCAGGAACCATGCTTATGAAACACCGATCGACAATGGCCGAAGGAAGCCAAGCATTATCAAATATTTTATGGAGAATCTTATTCTTAGTTATTCCATCAAAACCAACGAATTGCCACATTTACCCATTCGTGAAGAAGATGAAGATTATGTAGTTGATTGTTTTTGGGAATACAAACCATTTAAAGAACAGAAATGGTTTCCATTTTCCGAATCGGAGTCGGAAACTCTTCAAGGATCTCTAATAGTCAAACCAGAACAAAAATTTAAACGCGAGATTCATTTACGAGTACGCGCTGGAACTTATACTGTTTCGTTAATTCAATTTCTACGTTCAGGAAAAGACGCTGATTTCACTCAAAGGATCGCCTGGATTCGTTGTCGAGGCTCATCGATCTTAAATTTCAGTTGTTATTGTCTATGGCAAATCATGTTTACCAAATATCCTAAAGCTGAAACAGAGCCATCATTGATGATGTTAACCATACCGACGGTTTATGATAGTAACTTTAAAGTTCATCTTGATTCGTGGTATTTCTGTGATGCCAAGACCAGTGCTCAATTAGATCACACCATGAATTATCGACGAAAACACATTTGTTTAGAACTTTCTCGTGTTTGTCATGATAAATTACTATTTGATTTACAAACATTTTCATTTAACAGTGAAAATGGAAGCGTCACCGGTTTTATTCGATGGATACCAAAGATGATTTCGAATAATTCACGCAACAAAAACAAAATTATCGGCATTGATGATTTTCAAACATTAGCCAATTTAGATCCAATACCTTTAACTACGGCACGATTGAGACAAGTTTTACAAAAAGATGATCGCATGTCCATCGCTGACGATAACGAGCTTCTGGAAAATAAAGAAGAATACGATTTTGATACGGAAGCAGGCGATATTGAAGACAATGAGGATAAATACAAAGCTATGAATGAGGTAAAGATCTTGACTGTAACACGTCTACACCCTTGTTTTTCATTTTAGGCACCCACCACTCCCATCAATCAATCTTGGTCAATACAAGATCTTGCTGATGGAGAGAGAGATTCTCAACTGGGTTCGTCGGCATCTTCAACGACGATAAGCAAATCCGACGCTTCAGATGATCTGGGTGACAAACGAATGGATGATTTTATCAATGAAGCAGCAGCAAAAGTTCGTTCATCACAACAAAATCGTTTAGAGGAAAAAGTTACTAGCAATACATCGGATGATGATAAAAATTCAGCGGCAACCAAAATCCAACTATCAGAATTAGAAAAGAAAAATGATAAATTAAAACAAGATTTACAAAATGAACAACGACGAATAGAAAAATTATTAGATTCAGGTAGCAAACATGAACAAGAAGTGGCACGTTTATTAGATCAAATCGCTAAGATGGAAGGACAACAGAAAGAAAATGAACGACAACAAGCAAAATTAAGAGACATGGATAGAAATATCAAAACAGTAGATTATAATAACATTCAACATGAAGTGATCCATCGATTTTTAACACCGAAAGATTCGCTCATTATTCGTTATTTACAAGATTTAGTGAAACATCTCGATCCATCATTCAACGATCGAGCACCGAAAATAATCTTTGCTGGAAAAAACAATCAATACGTAGTTACTGTCGTTGGTTTTCCTGCTCATCATCAAGGATTCAAAGATGTTTTACAACGTATTTGGTCGCTGACGAATGTCATCGAATCAGCCAAAGGTTTCTATCAACGAAATACCAATCGACAGATCAAGCAATTGATGAAGGAAGCTGTATACCGTGTGACCTCAAAAACACACAGTTGGAGAGAATATGTCAAAGCCTTCAGTCAATTATTAAAAGTGACAAGTGTAGAATATGGAAAGAAATTCCAAGATTATCTCGATGAACAAGTGAATGCCTTGATCGATCAATGTATCATGGGCAAATTACCCACACCCTGGATAGATATTCGAAAAGCAACGGATAAATTTTTGCAGAAACATCCATTGATGAACGAAATCGAATCGATTAAACATGTAGCATTAGAAGAATTTATCAAAGAAAATATCGTCATTCAACGTGCGAAACTAGAGAAAAAACCATCAGTCGAATCTGTTGCTGTTCTCCAAGATTTCATCAATAAAGTGCAAAAAGAATTTAAAACACAAAAGATGTATCAAGGCCACGAATTGAAACATTTCGCCTTGATCCCCAAACTTCTTCGGCGACTCATTCTTTATTATGGTTGTTTCAAAGTTCAATTACCATTGTATGAATCATCAAAAGATTTATTAGACAAAATTGAGAAGAATGCTGTGACAACCATCTCGACATCCACTGGATCAGGAAAATCAACATTATTACCGGTCTTATTAATTGCTGAAGGTTATGATAAAGTCATCGTCACCCAACCGCGACGTTTACCGTGTCAATTAATTTGTAAACGTGTCAATGAAACGATGGCCAACGAATCCGGACCAATGAAAGATCCATTAGCCGGTTGGGCAGTCAGTGGTACCGAAAAAAATCCAAATGCAGGTATTCTTTACTTAACCGATGGTTTACTCAAAGAACGGTTACTCTACGATTCAAATTTAATCTCCACAAATACGAAATTCAATAAATCGGTGGTCTTCTTTGTCGACGAAGTGCATGAGCGTAGTGTCAATATCGATCTTTGTCTCGCCTTACTCGCTCGGTCATTAAGTATTCAACCGGAATTGAAAACGAAAATGAAAGTAATTATTTCATCTGCAACACTTGATGCTTCGGTGCCGACATTATTTCGTCATATTCCTCAAGTTGGTCTCGCAGAATTCAAAATGCCACAAATGGGAACATTACATCCAGTGACAAAAATCGCTCGACCCAATGAAAATGCTTTAGATATTGTTCAAGAATTGTGCAAAAAACGTAAACGGCATGATCAAATTCTTTGCTTTGTTAGCTCAGTTGGCGAAGTAAATCAATCGTGTAAATTAATTAATCAAATCAGTCAAGAAACAATTGTTGCCTACCCCTTAATTCAATCACAACATCCCAATGTTCAACAATACAACATCGAATATGGTAGTGTGTTCTTCTCAACCACCGTCGCTGAAACATCGTTAACATTTCCTTGTCTTAAATACGTCGTCGATACTGGAATGATCAATGTTCCTGTTTATGATTTTGATTCGAAACGAACTGTTCTACGAGAAGTTCGAGCTGCTGAATCAACGATTAAGCAGCGATTAGGTCGTCTAGGTCGAACTCAACCGGGTGAATATTATTCATTGTACGATTTCAAAGTCGATGCCGTTCCTTATCCTGTTCCTCAGATCTGCCAATCGGATCTAATGAATATCGAATTTTCATTGAGAAAGTCTCCATTAAAAAAAGGATTTAACTATATGAAATCATTTCTACCGAATAAACCGTCACAAAAAGCGATCGATACAACTATTGGACAATTGAAAGATTTAAGTAAGAGACGCTTAAACTAAATTTCATGCAACTGATTGGTTTCATGTTTAGATATTTTGGAGAAAGGTTCTAATGACAAACTCACAAAACACGGTGATGAGTTGGCGAAATTACCTGATTTCGGTTCATTGGCCATGTCCAAAGCGGTCTTAGCGGCGCTTCGTAATCATGGTTGTGGACGTGATCTGATCTGTTTATCAGCGATTTTGGGTGTTCTTAATACAACAACTCTATTCAAAAGTTTACCTCAACATCTAAAAAGTCCTGATGGCGATTTTATGACTTTATTAAAGGTGATGGATGAAATTCTTTTAGTAAGACAAAGTAGCCCAGCAAAACAATTCAATGTCGATCAAGTTTGTCAATCGAAAGGTTTAAAAGAGATTCAACATATTATCCGTCAAGCATTGAGACGTTATCAAACATTAGAAAAAACTTTTAATCAATCACCTGATTTCTGTGCACGAGCTCAAGAACAATCAGGAGATTGGGAATTGGTTGCCAGATCGTTGTTGGCTGGTTATTCGGATAATGTCTTTGTTTCGATGAAAGAATTACAAGATCGATCCCATTTATTCATTCGTTACAATAATGGAGGTGATATAGCTAAACTTGATTTGCAATCGACACTGACACGACCGATTAGCACAGCACCAGTCTCACTCGTCTTAGCTCGAGATATTCGTCATTCGACGGCTGTCCGAGCCACAGCAATCATTTCCTTTGTTGGTGAAATTAAAGCTGAATGGCTCGAATGCCCACTCGAACGTGAATTTGATTTGACCAACGAAGAAGAAATTTATCTTAATGCTGCCAATCGATATTCAGGTGCCCAAACGAAATTCTCCAACAAAATCAACATGTCATTAGGTGGTCAAAAGATGAAATTCAAAGGTTCGTCTGGTATTGTTCTTAATGCTGAATTACATCTTCGGCAACAAATGATTTCCGAATTGAAATTTAATTTGTCAAACACACCGAATCCAGCTGATAATTTGAATTTTGCTCGAAATCTAGAAAGTATTATGAAAATGACCCACATCTTTAATCCGATGAAATGGCGATGGGCCACAGAAAGACAAGTAGAAATTACGATAAATAGCAACACAGCAACAAAAACTTGTGAAATTATCGTCAAAGGAAGAGATTCTGATAATAAAAAAGTAAAGAAAGAATTTGATGTATTTATTGGCTGGTTACGAAAATGTGCTGTCATACGACATCCAAACGATCGTAAGTGAAGAATTTTCAATAAAAATTCATCATCAGAACATCATGATGTCTCTTTCAGATGTCAGTCCACGTGTACTTCGTCCTGCCATGCGTAAAGATTGTCGAGATATTGAAGAAAGAATCAGTCGTGTGACTGATACAAAACGAACACCCGTAGATTTATACAAAGGTGTCCGCGGTAGTAAAGCGACACGTGAAACACGAATGGAAGTGGTGGCATGGATTTCAGTTTGCAAATTTGACTGCAAAGTAGAAGGTGGTTTCGTTCGAGATTGGATTGTCGATCATTATACAGCACGACCATCTGGTGTAACTGACCCCAAAAAATGGATTGACATGAGTAATCCTATGCCAGCTTTAGTAAAAGAAGTGATTCCATGTGATTTGGATTGTCATTTACCGTCGCACATGTATTTCGATATAGAGAAATTTCAAGATGAATTATATAAATACGGCATTACATGTGAAGTAAAACGTGATAATTGGCGATATGTTTTATTATTCGATGAGAACGAACCTACAGGTCCATTTACTATGGATTTAATTGAACCACATGTGGCATTAACACATGATCGAATTGATTTAGATGTGAATAATTTATCTGTGGAAAAAGATTATACACATGAACTTGGAATGCGTATCGATATCCAGCGAAAGCCTTATGAAATTGAATTGGAAAAAATTGTTAATAACATCAAAAATAAACGTTTTAAAGTTCTTCGTCCTCTAGATCAATTTGTTAAACAGCGTATCGAGAAAATGCAACAACGTGGATGGACACAAGATGGGCCCATTATATCGGTCATACCTGATCCACACTACAAATATTATGCCGTTTTAGTGCCATTACCATCAAGTGCTACTCTCTATACCGATGTTTCGACTAAGATGAAAAATATTACTTCGGTCCAAATTGTCTCGATTGAAGAAATTCGAAATCCATATTTGGAAGAAACCTATGAAGGTATGAAGAAACTTATCGCCAAACAATGTCCAAATCAAATTCCAAACGAACAGGAATTATTTCATGGCACGAAAACTGCTGGAATCGAAGGTATCACAGAAGACGGATATGATGATCGATATTTTAATAAAGGTGGTTTGTATGGTAAGTCAAATATCTATACCTGAACATTCGCATCGATTCTCATTTAGGTCATGGCGCCTATTTTGCTGATGATCCAAACAAATCGCACGGTTATACTGAACTGAATGCTGCGAATGGTACACATGTGATGTTTTACAACAAGGTACTCTTGGGCAAACCAACAATCTTAACTGCTACAGACAATACACTAGTCTCAGCACCGCATGGATTTCATTCAGTGATTGGCAAACATACGGCAATGACCGAATACATCGTTTATCGCTATGGTCAAGCTCTACCCTATCTAAAAATTGTTTACAAAGCTTGACGATCAACTATTGTCATTCACTTTTATCAGAATATCGAATAAACATGATAATAATTTGAAAAACAAATGAATGGAGAAAAGATTACATATCTGGTCTGCATATGACCCAGTCTTTGTTTCAAATGTATAGTTTGCACAACATTTTTGGATCGTGATTAAAAGAAGTTTTTCGTTTGGGAATTAGTCCCCATTGACTGAAGGAACGAGCAGAGGATCGTTTAAATCATCCATTTTGCGATCGAGGATGAGAGTGTGTGTTTGATAGAAAATGAATTTCAAGCTACTTACTACACGTTTTGTCCTTGCTTAAGGAACTCGTCAGGTATATTCACAATCTGTTGGCGCATGAAGTTATGATAAACACATAACTATTCTTACAGTTCTATTCTATTAAAGAAAATTCAATAGAGTACAGATTGAAAG